TGAATGATGGTGGATAGTGACAGTCAGTGGTAGGCCTTAAACAACTAAGACAATAGACACACCTTGGAGTTTGCACTTGAGACATGTAACAGCTAAGCGCATGGCACAAAGTTCAGTACCCTAAGTGCTATAGCCCCCACAGTGGGAGGAGGTTCTACACTAACAAATGCTGACCGGTGGCAGTATGCTCTGCTGCCAGCCACGGCCCATCCCCACAACTCCTGTCAGTTTTGTCTAGGTCACTCAAATTCTCAACCTGTTGGCTTTGCTGCTGCCCAGATACCAGAAAAGCTTTCTTCCTGAACTTTTACTGCTTCTCTCTTCTTTTTCTTCATGTAACTAGCAAAAGCACTGAAAAGACTTCATTGGGACCTGATAAAACCAGCAAAGCAGCAAGACCTTACTCACAAAGTGACTGTTTATACCAATCACAATAGTCTCCTCATGTTTGCTCCTATCATGAGATAATCCATTATGCACATAAAGGATTATATTTACACTAACCACAGTTCTACTGGACCAAAAGTGCCTTCCACCTAGAGAGAAGTGGCAGTTGTAGCAATTGGTCTTATGTTGAGTCAAAGCACTTTTTAAGAGTGTATACAACAAAGCTTTCTATATAGCAGTTCTTTAACAATGTAAGAATCAGTGTTCTAATACTGTTTAACTACTATCTTAGTGTCCTAGGGAGGGGTGGGTCCCAATCATTAAGGGTCACTAAGGGACCCCTTGAGGGAAGGAGAGTGAGTTGGGGAGTATTGCATCCTATCATGCTGATATAATTGAAGACTTTCAAATAACACAATGTTAATTCATGCATGTATTTAATTTAAATAGTTATCTAGGATATGTGTGTGATATGATTGTATTATAAAGTAGAAATATGATTGTGTTAGCTTTATGGTTTTTGCACTGAATAATCTGATGTAAGAATTGAAGGCAAGAAGAATTTATTTTAGCTCAAAGACAGTTCATGTTTTCTCGGCCATATGTATTTAAGTTAGACCATCATGGGAATGGAAACAAGTAGGGGAGAAAGCTGCTCACTTCACAGTGGGGAGAGGGAGAAGAGGGTGGAAGGGAGAAAAAGGAGAGGGGAGGAAGGGAGAAAGGAAGGAAGGAAGGAAGGAAGGAAG